TGCACTGGAAAATATTAAATAATTGGATCAGTACAAACAATTGTTCTGAGCTGTAAATCATACAGAGCAAGAAATTAGGAAAACAGGGCTCTTTATTATTTGTTGAGAAAAAAAAGAAACATTTCATGTTGAAGTCAGTGCTTCTTTTTCCACATGTAGGCACACAAGCAGCACATCTGCTGCTGTGCATTCATAAAGAATAACAATCCTTAAGACGAAGAACATTTTGTCCTCTGTAACTCTGATTGACTCACATTGGAGGACGACATGATGCCACACAGGGGGAAGAGGATGGCGGGGAGCATGGCGGTCATGGACAGTGGAATCACCTCTGTTATCCAGTATATCGCCATCAGCAGCAACACAAAGCCACATTCTGCCTCCTACAGGGAAAACACGATTACACACACACACACACACATCGATGACTGTAATTATAGCTAAAGGTCATTTTTATATAAATGTAATGCAAAAATTAGACGCAGCAGCTTGTACACTAAGCCAGAGTCTCTCTCGTCACTCAGCAGCTACCTTCAAACACCATCAGCTAGTTATTTGGACTGAAGCATTGTCTAATTTAACCTTCATTCCAGCGGTTATCTTTCTATTATCTTTACTTTTTCTTTTTTTGAACCATCCGGTTGTGGATCTGCATGAACATTTCCACCACCAGGCTTCACAGTCAGGGCCCAGCATTTTGGGTGTCACACTATCAAGTTCTGCTTGATAGTGCAATAATGTTTTCCGTTTTTATTATCATTAGCTTGTCTGTTGATCTTGTCAGTCTTGAATTCTTGCAGTTACTTTGCATATCGGACGTTATTAGTTCCCTTCACTTCACATTCTTTTCCTTTTGTGTCCTTTCCTTATGCAGAGTTTATTTTTCTGTTGGAGTTTCCTTGTTTGGTAATTAGTGGTTGTTTGTGTCTAGTATTTATTGTTACTTCCTCACCCATAATTGCATCGATTTCATGCAGCCATGTCTCTTTTCCTCACTGATGTGCCGACCTGAATGCTCCTCATTTAAAAAAAAATAGTGCTGTCTCCCCCTTGTGCTTTGTCTCAGCTATTCTCTCATGTACTTGATTTGCTGCTTCATGGACTTTATGCTTTTTGAACTTCCACATCACCCTCAGTCCTTAACTAAAATTCTAGGTTCTCCTGAAACAATCTTGTTCTGATCTGTACTAAATATCAGACTTGTAGTCAAGACCGCCTAAACCAA